CCCAGAGTGGGAAGAGACAAAGTTTCCATCTGGAAAGAGCTGGCCTGGCCGTGTGAACTGTCTACACAGACTATCAGTTACACGATACCTTTGGGGACTCCGATTGTCACTGGAGAGATTCTGTGTTCAAGATTAGCATAGTAGGGAGACTCTGAATCCTTAAAAATTGCATAATTCTTTTGAAACAAAATACCCTGTTTCTAAATACATACTGTGAATGAGAACTTTTGCCCCAATTTGTAAAATTATGGTTTATTGCTAAAACAGCCTGAGGGTACAAGTACGAATGGAATAGCATTAATTAAAATACATAAAAACAGCAGAAGGGGTTATTTTATAATGTAAGTTCAAAAGAACAGGGAAAAAAATGGAAAAATCTGTCCTTCCTCCCCTGGGGACAATGCGCTTGCAAAGGCTGGGTGCCGTGCCCTGCGGCTCATTAGACGGAGCCGGCACATGGCGGGTGTCGTGACCTCCTGTGAAACCATCCTCCTTACTTTTCCAGAATGTTAGTTAGGATTTGAAAGTGGGTTTTCTAAGTGATCTCAAATGTCATATGGAAGCAGAGGAAAATGCCCCCGTCTGGGTTTTGTGGCATCACATTCAGGAGGCGGAGGAGTTCCAGCTCCTGGAGCTCCATGCAGAGGCCTCCTGGGCCCTGCAGCCTCGTGGCATGGAAGTCCCCTGCAGCCGCACCCTGTGCCATCCCTCAGGACAAGGGCTGCTTCCCACCGCAGGTGTGGGTGGTGGGGGGATCCCAACTCTGGATCCTGTCCCGTGACCTCTGGCGGGCATGGGTGGAGCTTCCCGGTGATCTCTTGATTGAGTAGTACAACAGGTTGACTGCGGGGATGAAGATGCTCCTGAGACAGCATCCAGAGTCTCTTCACATGCAGGGGGCCAGTGGGGGGGAAGGCAGAAAAGAGGAATGCTAGCCAAAACCTTTCAGTGGAGAACATTCCACACGGCAAGGACAGTGAGAAAGAATGTGGACTGCAGAAGAAAGAGAGGGAGCATCCGAGACATTGATGTTGCAGGGACTCATGGCCTGCAGGGTGGCTCTTCCAAGGCTGGCTTCATGCCTCATTTGCCTACATGGGTACCTATGGATGGAGGACACATAGCAAAAGGCCCCCTTACCTCATGCTTGGAATAGAGACACTGCCATCTTTAGCATTCCTGATCCCTTTCCACTGGGCACAATGCTGCCCTCAGCAACCCCAAGACAATGTTCCATCCCATCAGAGGCTGACCCTAGGCACAGTCCCACCCACCACCATGGAGGGTGGGCAGAGAGAGAAGCTGCCTGCAGCTGCCCTGCTGACAGCTCTTCACTCCTCCCACTAGAGCTGCTCTTCTCTTCAGCCGCTGCCTGGGTGAGGGCCATGCAAGGCATTGTNTCCCACTAGAGCTGCTCTTCTCTTCAGCCGCTGCCTGGGTGAGGGCCATGCAAGGCATTGTGCACGTGTGCATGGGGGAGAGGGTAAGCGGAGGCCAGAGATCAGCAGCAGTGACTAAGCCTGAGATTCAGCACAATGGGCAGGATTCAGTTTGAGAAACTTCACATCACATCAAGAAGAGATGAGTAAGCAGAAAAGAAGAAAATGTCTACCTGTAGTGAACGTCTAAGAAAGTCAAATTGCAAATTATATATACACACAAAGAGGAATGCTAGCCAAAACCTTTCAGTGGAGAACATTCCACACGGCAAGGACAGTGAGAAAGAATGTGGACTGCAGAAGAAAGAGAGGGAGCATCCGAGACATTGATGTTGCAGGGACTCATGGCCTGCAGGGTGGCTCTTCCAAGGCTGGCTTCATGCCTCATTTGCCTACATGGGTACCTATGGATGGAGGACACATAGCAAAAGGCCCCCTTACCTCATGCTTGGAATAGAGACACTGACATCTTTAGCATTCCTGATCCCTTTCCACTGGGCACAATGCTGCCCTCAGCAACCCCAAGACAATGTTCCATCCCATCAGAGGCTGACCCTAGGCACAGTCCCACCCACCACCATGGAGGGTGGGCAGAGAGAGAAGCTGCCTGCAGCTGCCCTGCTGACAGCTCTTCACTCCTCCCACTAGAGCTGCTCTTCTCTTCAGCCGCTGCCTGGGTGAGGGCCATGCAAGGCATTGTGCACGTGTGCATGGGGGAGAGGGTAAGCGGAGGCCAGAGATCAGCAGCAGTGACTAAGCCTGAGATTCAGCACAATGGGCAGGATTCAGTTTGAGAAACTTCACATCACATCAAGAAGAGATGAGTAAGCAGAAAAGAAGAAAATGTCTACCTGTAGTGAACGTCTAAGAAAGTCAAATTGCAAATTATATATACACACACACACACACACACTTGAAGTTGCAGTCACTGTTTTTTGTTTTTATTTGTTTAGTTTCTTGGAAAATTCCAACTTATACGTGAGCAAATGTTTTGGAAGTTGCCATCTCCTGGCAGAGGAACCAGAGGTTCTAAGGGGATTTAGCACACCTGGGGGCTACATGGACATGGGACCAGGGTATCTATCACACAGTTGAGAGCAGACCTGTAGCAGGGTAGACTCTGCCAGGAGGGAGGGTTCCTACAGAGCCGGGCCCAGCCACATCCTTCTACTCCAGTGTGACGCTGCTGTGGCCTCCCGCCAGAAGTTCTGCCAAACTAGGCTCCACATGATGGGTGTGAGCACATCCATCACTGAGGAAGATGTCATCCAGCCAGGTGCATGCCACTTGTGCACATTTGGATGACATTGCTTAGGAAGAAAAGCTCAGAGAAAACAGAGAAAATTGTCACAAAGAATCCCACCAAAGCCCACACACCCCAGTCCAGCTCGGAGGTGACTTTCAGGAACTCTTCTTCATTTTGTCACCGTCCTCCCTGATCTGTCTCTATTTCCCTTCTTGTTTGTGATTACATCCATATCCACATCCACATCCACATCCATATCCATATCCGTATCCACATCCATACCCATATCCACATCCACATCCACATCCACATCCATATCCACATCCGTATCCACATCCACATCCACATCCACATCCATACCCATATCCACATCCACATCCACATCCACATCCATATCTACATCCATACCCATATCCACATCCATATCCACATCCGTACTCATATCCAATCCATATCCACATCCGTATCCACATCCACATCCATATCTACATCCATACCCATATCCACATCCACATCCACATCCACATCCGTATCCACATCCACATCCACATCCGTATCTGTATCCACATCCACATCCACATTCATATGCACATCTGTACCAATACCCACATCCATATCCACATCCATATCCACATCTGTACCCATATCCACATCGATATCCACATCCACATCCATATCCACATCCAAATCCACATCCACATCCATATCCACATTCATATGCACATCTGTACCCATATCCACATCCACATTTATATCCAAATCCACATCAATATCCACATTCATATCCACATCCACATCTACATCAACGTCCATATCCACATCCACATGTATATCCCCATCCACGTTTATATCCACATCCACATCCACATCCACATTTATATCCACATCCATAATCACATCCGTATCCATATCCGTACCCACATCCGTACCCACATCCACATCCACATCCATATCCACATCCACATCCACATTTATATCCACATCCACATCCACATCCACATCAACATCCACACATCCACATCCACATGTATATCCACATCCACATCCATATCCACACCCACAACCACATCCACATTTATATCCACATCCACATCCACATCCACATTTATATCCACATCCACATCCATATCTATACCCACATCCATACCNTCCCACTAGAGCTGCTCTTCTCTTCAGCCGCTGCCTGGGTGAGGGCCATGCAAGGCATTGTACACGTGTGCATGGGGGAGAGGGTAAGCGGAGGCCAGAGATCAGCAGCAGTGACTAAGCCTGAGATTCAGCACAATGGGCAGGATTCAGTTTGAGGAACTTCACATCACATCAAGAAGAGATGAGTAAGCAGAAAAGAAAGAAAATGTCTACCCGTAGTGAACGTCTAAGAAAGTCAAACTGCAAATTATATACACACACACACACACACACTTGAAGTTGCAGTCACTGTTTTTTGTTTTTATTTGTTTAGTTTCTTGGAAAATTCCAACTTATACGTGAGCAAATGTTTTGGAAGTTGCCATCTCCTGGCAGAGGAACCAGAGGTTCTAAGGGGATTTAGCACACCTGGGGGCTACATGGACATGGGACCAGGGTATCTATCACACAGTTGAGAGCAGACCTGTAGCAGGGTAGACTCTGCCAGGAGGGAGGGTTCCTACAGAGCCGGGCCCAGCCACATCCTTCTACTCCAGTGTGACGCTGCTGTGGCCTCCCGCCAGAAGTTCTGCCAAACTAGGCTCCACATGATGGGTGTGAGCACATCCATCACTGAGGAAGATGTCATCCAGCCAGGCGCATGCCACTTGTGCACATTTGGATGACATTGCTTAGGAAGAAAAGCTCAGAGAAAACAGAGAAAATTGTCACAAAGAATCCCACCAAAGCCCACACACCCCAGTCCAGGTTGGAGGTGACTTTCAGGAACTCTTCTTCATTTTGTCACCGTCCTCCCTGATCTGTCTCTATTTCCCTTCTTGTTTGTGATTACATCCATATCCACATCCACATCCATATCCACACCCACATCCGTACCCATATCCACATCCATATCCACATCCATATCTACATCCGTACCCATATCCACATCCACATCCACATCCGTATCCACATCCACATCTACATTCATATGCACATCTGTAACCATATCCACATCCATATCCACATCCACATCCATATCCACACCCACATCCATACCCATATCCACATCCACATCCACATCCGTATCCACATCCAAATCCACATCCACATTTATATCCAAATCCACATCAATATCCACATTCATATCCACATCCACATCCACATCAACATCCATATCCACATGTATATCCACATCCACATCCACATCCACATTTATATCCACATCCATAATCACATCCGTATCCATATCCGTACCCACATCCATATCCACATCCATATGTACATCCACATCCACATCCATATCCACATCCATATGTACATCCACATCCACATCCATATCCACATCCATATCCACATCCATACCCATATCCACATCCACATCCATTTCTACATCCATACCCATATCCACATCCACATCCATTTCTACATCCATACCCATATCCACATCCACATCCATTTCTACATCCATACCCATATCCACATCCATATCCACATCCATACCCATATCCACATCCACATCCACATCCACATCCGTATCCACATCCACATCCACATTCATATGCACATCTGTACCAATACCCACATCCATATCCACATCCATATCCACATTCATATCCACATCTGTACCCATATCCACATCGATATCCACATCCACATCCATATCCACATCCAAATCTACATCCACATCCATATCCACATTCATATGCACATCTGTACCCATATCCACATCCACATTTATATCCAAATCCACATCAATATCCACATTCATATCCACATCCACATCTACATCAACATCCATATCCACATCCATATCCACATCCACATGTATATCCCCATCCACGTTTATATCCACATCCACATCCACATCCATATCCACATCCACATGTATATCCCCATCCACGTTTATATCCACATCCACATCCACATCCACATTTATATCCACATCCATAATCATATCCGTATCCATATCCATACCCACATCCGTACCCACATCCACATCCACATCCATATCCACATCCATATGTACATCCACATCCACATTTATATCCACATCCACATCCACATTTATATCCACATCCATAATCACATCCGTATCCATATCCATACCCACATCCACATCCACATCCATATCCACATCCACATTTATATCCACATCCACATCCACATCCACATGTATATCCACATCCACATCCATATCCACACCCACAACCACATCCACATCCATATCCACACCCACATCCACATCCACATTTATATCCACATCCACATCCATATCCACATCCACATCCATATCTATACCCACATCCATACCCATATTCATAGCCACATCTGTACCGTACCCATGTCCCTAGGCACATTCATACCCATATCTGTCCACATCCACTCATGCCTGTGTTTTAGATTTCTATGGCAGCCATGACAAAGCACCACACACTGGGCAGCTTAAACAGCAGAAACTTACTCTCTTACCTTTCTGGAGGCTGGAAGTCTGAGGGCGGTGAGGGAGAAGCTGCTCCCCATCTCTCTTCAGCTTCTGGTA